TTCTCCTGTCCAGAAATAGAATCATAGAGATAAATCCGCAAAATTTATGATAGAAGATTTTTATATTATAGCGACGATCATTTACGATCTAACGACATAGACGTAAACGATCTTAGAAAGAAATAAAATTCCGCAGAATATTTAGCAGGATATGAATTCGCGAATATCCAGAATATATTTCAAAAATATCACAGCTCCTATTAAAAAAATCAAAATTCATCTAAAAATGATCATAGAGAATAGAAAATCAATTATATGAATTTTCTCTCGTATATTTAGAATAATATATATCATATCTTCCGAATTATAATAAATTTGACGCTAGAAAATCGATTTTATTTATTATCTTGAAGAATATAATCCGATCCCAATCAAATGTATCAATCTCATAAGTTCTATTAATCATCTTATTCTCCTAATTTTTAGAGAATATAAATTACGAAAAAATACGATCTCATTCCTTCCTTTAGATATCCTATCGAATTCCCATTTTTTCCAATTAAGAAATCAATTCTTATCCATTTCAATAATAAGATTGAATTCACTTTTCAGATTCTATCTTATCAAATATGATGATCTTAGATTTTTTTCTTTTCTTAGATCATTTAAAAATTCTTTTCTATATATATACGATTCTCATTAAAATTAATTTCCAACTAAAATCCTATCATTTCATATCTATAAGCTTATCGAAGATTCAAATGAAAATCAAATTCAAGAAATAACTATTTAGATTCTTTTGAATATTCTCATCTCAAATCTCTCAAATTCTTCCAATAATATCTTGTTAGAAGATTATAATTCTTATATATTTAATTCAGTAATAAATTCTATTTATGATCCTATAAATTTTCAATTCTAAATAGAAAATAATCAATTTAAGATCCCCACAAAGATATTATTCTCTTATTTCATAAATTCCTACGATCATATCTTCCTTTTCTCTATCAGATATTCGAATTTGAATTCCTCTCTAATTTAAAAAAATTTCATAAAATTCAAATCTTTCCTACTAATTTCGTGAAATTACCATAATTTTTAAAAATAAAATCAAGCTAGATTTTGAATCAATAATCCATCCCCTCCTATCAAATAACAAGGGTATATTTCCTTTACGAAATAATGCTTATGTATTTTCATTATATTTAATGTATTTTTCATGAAAAATATGTTATTTTTCCGTCCTATACAAATGAAAATATGATATCCTATCAAATCTTTCATGCGGCTTGAATATAATCTTAAATATTTTTCGAAAATCTTTTTCCTATTCAGAATTCAAGTAAAGCAATGAAACATTAAAATTCATGAAATCCTTCTCCTTTCATGTTCAAAATTATTCATAAAATCAATACGAAGGTTCTTTTCAAAATCCATGTGGGAATAGGCCCAAAATATTATTCCCAAAATGGGAGAAACTTATATAGGGCCTCGTATTATAATAGGATCCTAAATATAGGACCCCGTATTGACAGTAATTTAGGACAATCCCCATGTATAATATTCTTCATATTTAATAGATTCTTATTCATAATGAAAATCTAATTCTATTTCTCATTTATACATTTTTCTGGCGGAATTCTTCATAATACATTCTTATAAGTCCTATATATCCCATCTAAATATATTTAGAAAGGATTAAACGTCTCGGGATATAGATCAGTTTGCATGCAATGCAGTTAAATATACGATTTCCTTTAGGGGGGGGTCCATTATAAAAGGGGCCCTAAGAATATTGCCCCAACCCTTTCTCTTTTTGGCGGACCCATCCCACCCCCCGTCCGCAATCCTTTCCTCTACCTCGCTACCGCTTCTTTCTCTTCCTCTATGAGGAGCTTCTAATTGCTGGGAACCTCTGAGGACGCATTGCAACATGTAAACCTGTAAAACAAATATTTGGGCAAACATAGGGGCGAAGTGGATGGACTCCAGACCACAGCTAGACGGCCGTGAAAGGAAGTGTGCCCGAACTCCATAAATCTGCCATACGATCTCCACACCATCAGATGGATGGTGGATGCTCAAAGGTGACAGCAAGAAAGCGTTCCTCTTTGCAGCCCTTGCGCAGAGCGCATCTGTTTTTCGGCGTTTATCCTCCGCATGTCAGACGGAAGGCCAAGCGCTGCCTTGCACTAATTGCGGTACGTCAGGATGCAACCCTAACCTGACCGAAACTGCACAGCTGCCTACAGCTGAACTCTTATCAGCGCAGTGTGGATAAAACATGCTCGGCAGGTGCCTTTAGCAGCCAACCCAGCTTGTATCCACACACCGGAAATACCAAGGGCCTCCATCCAAATCATAACAAAGAAGCACCCTTAAAAGTATCAACGCTAATGATATTTCAGCACAGCCTCGTTGTTACTGCAATGCAAGGCTGGTCAACAGAAATGCAAACATATTTGCGTCTTTAGCACTTGGTGCGCCGGATGCACGAAAATACCGCAACAAGCTTCAGGGCCGAATTGAGAAGCATGCTATGGTACTTCTGGCAAGCTTGTCGGTGCTAAGATGTCTACCGTGTTCGATTCTTAAGTCAACATGATCAGGACACTATACGACCACGACTGGTAGATGCTTGCCGGATCGTTTAGAACACGCAGGGCTTGCCAGTTCCTACTGTTTCCTAACTACTCCTAGCTACTGAGGCTTGTGCCGGTCATGTGGCACAGAGCCAGAATCAAACCTCAAAGAGGTCTTCAAAGCTGTGCACAACCTTTGAGGTGACCACGCAAGCCTTAAATCAGGGTGGAAGCGTGCCCAGCCAAGCACTCTTAGCACTCTTGGAGACGTACACATGAAGATCTCCTCCTAAGACATTTCTTCACAAGCGGCCCTTCTGTCCCTTGAAGCTGCCTGTGATGGATCGCTTGGGCCCGGTGCATCCTGGATCACCTATGCAGGTCGCACAGAACCGGCCAACACCTGTCTGCACACCAGCAACACCACAGCTTCAGACGCTCTTCGAGGGCCTGATCAGCCTCGTAGTAGACTCCAACATCTTCCAGAGCCAACCGGATCTCCTGGACATATTCCACGTCTTCGCCCTCCTCCTCCAAATACATGCCTTCAGCTTCACGTGTGATTCACACGCTTTCAGGCACACCTGACTGCAACCCAATTTCTGCGGAATTTGGTGCTTTGCCTGCATCAGCCAGCTTCTCTGCCCAATCTTCAGGCTCCTCGAAGCCAAGACCATGCGCCAACGCCTGTGCCATGCCGATAGCAAGAACAAGAACCTCAACTCAAACTTCTTGGAATCTGTTCATGGCCTGCAGCTGCTCGGCGCGTGAAGCCTGTCGGGTGGATACATTCAAGAACTGCCTGCCCTTGCAACATGCTCCAATCAAGCGGTCTCCTCAGCATGCTCTCCATGCAGGGTTCCAACCGTGCTCTCACCTGCCAACTCTGCCCACTGATGCGAATGCTGCTCTGGCTCTGTCCGTTTGCAGCTCAGCAGCGGTTGCTTGCTACGTCACGCAGGTCTTTGGCAGTAGGACTCCTGGTTGGAAATCCTGTGCAAAGAAGGTATCTTGACCACTTTCCGTGAAGTGTGCTTGGTTGCATGAGAAAATCACAAGCGGAGCCCTCCCAGTCATAGCATTTGGCACTTGACCTGTCGTGAAGTGCATCTAGTCTCGTTGAGCTGTTGGCGATCAGCCACGCTCAACGTAGGAAACGTATCTACAAACGGTGGCGAAACACAAGTGAGCAGCAATGGCACACTCGCATATTGCGCCCTGAGGCCCACAAAAACATTGTCAAGCGTCACTTCTGGGCGTCCGGGAGAAAAGGGCAACCCCAAACTTCGTGCAAACCCGATCTCCCCAACCTTTTCTGCTCCCGCCATCTACGGGGAACTAGGTAGCTGAGACGCACGATGGACACAGATGCAAATGGTGGCAGCTCTCTTTGATACGAGATCGATGAGAGGTTTTCTGAACCAACATTCAGTAGAGAAGCACTGAGGAAACGTCAGTCGTGACGGTGTCTTGACAATGGAAAAATTGAAGCCAAACGTTGTGCATGTCTTCAGCCCAAGGCACAGCTGAAACCCAAAAAGCCTTCGAATGCTTTTTGTCCTGCAGTGCTCTGCTTCCGCCATGCTCCGCTGTCACTCCCGGCCCATCCGGCCCCTGAAAGCTGGTGGCTTCTCTCACATTTTTCTTTCCAGAAAACTTTCCAGGCCTGAACACTCTTCTTTAGTTCCTGTTCCTGTTCCTGTGCGTTTAGTGTCCAAGACGGTCTTCTGTAGTTCACCAAATACCATCAAGGCGGGCCTCAGGTGCGCCCCGGGTGCATGTCCGGCAAAGTGCCCAAAGTCCGTGCAGGTGGTTGAGAAGGTAGCGAAAAGGGATCTGAATGCCCATGCTTCAGCCATGCAATTCCGCGGTCTAAACGTCACTTAAAGGCCTGTGCTACTTTAACTCAGCACCCAGATGAACCCATGAGAGCATGACAGCTCCTGCTGTCACTTCTCGACTCGGTGGCAGCGTCCGCGTCACACCTGTGTGCAATTACAGTGTCTGGAAGTTCAGGTCTCAGCAAATCGATGGACAATTCCTACACGAGCTGAGCTCAAGAACTTTTGGATGATGGCGAAAACAGCCGAGGGCAATAAGCCATGTCCATTACGCCAAGGGAAGTAATCGAGGCAGATTGGCCTTCATCCTCCCAGTCCCAGCTGTCGGATGCAGCCTGCAGACTGGCGGCAAATCGTATTTTCAGTTGCAGCCTCTCTGAAAGTTTGGGCCCAAAGCGGTGCCACAATGAGCAGCTCCACCCGCCTATGCCTGATCATGCCTTATGCTCACAGTGTCCGGAGAAAGCTATGACTGTCATCCTTTTGTACACAGGGACAACCACAACTACCACCACTAGCTGCCTCACCAGCTGATGTTTGCGCTTCGCTTCCAATCTCGTTGGTTGAAACTGACGCAGCCACATCTTCAGAAGCCTGCAGAACAGCAATGCTGTCAAAGATGGCTCCAAGTAATTTCTGTTTCAGATGAAATTCTGCAGGGTTTAGGTCTCTGTCAAAATCTATAGTGTCCGTAGCAGCGCAAGAGATCTCTAGAGTTTCAGGTCGGCAAAGGTTTCGGTTCCAATCCGTTCAAGCGCTGCTTGAACTCTGCAATCTCTCAGCATAACATCTTTTCACTACCATCTGCTGCTCTGAATCCAAGCCGCATCAGCCAGGTTTGAAATGTTGGAAATAGTGTTTCAAGGTGTTTATGCATGTCATCTTGGTCTCAAACCAGGCCAAGGTCCTTGCTTGGGCGGGCTCACGAAGCTCCGGGTACGAGCGAACAGTTTGCATCGAAGGAATGCGGTCGGAGGGAGATCTCAAAACAGGAAAACACTCTCCACGCAGTGTTGCTGAAGGAGTGAAGCATGTGCTCACACTTGCCGGCATGCAGCAAGTACTAGGCACTTGGCCACACCCTGAACCTGCTGCCATGGAGCGTTCACGCACAAGAAGCAGCCATTTCCCTCTGCCTGCGGCACGAAAGCTTCGCGCTCTCACAGGACTGCTAAGCAAATTTTCTGTCCTTAAACCCTGTGAAAGAAAGCCCGACACAGCAGGCCAAGCTTGCAAACGTTTCCATACTCTTCCAAAGCTTGCCTTCTGCAAACGCTGTCCTTGGAATTACATCGGCCAGATCAGAAGTGCTTTGAACGTGTGGGCTGGACAGCAATATTGCAAATTAACACTTGGCTATCTTCTTGGCTACTTGTAGGACCCAGCCCAAGCAAAACCCGAAGGGGCATCAAGGCATCAAGGTACATGAAGTAATTCTAGGGCCATGTCTGACCTACGTTACATGTACGCAATTTGGAACTGTCTTTTGAACCTCCTTTTTCTGAGTGTGCATGCTGCCTGACCTTGGCAAAACGGATCGCAAGCTGGGCTTGCTGAAGACATGTTGCCCCTATCGTTGCTTTGCAAGACATTTTTGATTAACAGCCTCATCTTGCGACCGATATTTGTATTTTGCAGCACGTAAGGTCTCAATCGTCAACCTGCCGAACGACCCATATTCCTTGGGCAAGCATCTGTAAAGGCATCCCACACATGCACAGCAACAGAGCAAAGCGCTTGCCGAGGCCGTCATTGTGGCAGTCAACCTTAAACCAAATGTCTGCAAGCCGAGTCAGTTTGAAAGATCGTATCTGATAGCAACGTTGCTGAAATCGAATGGAGACCTGGAGACACTGATCGTGAGACGCTGATGCTCCAAAGTCGAAGCTACGTTGTAGTTGGTTGCTGAACGCTCGAAGGGTCCGGGGCGCCTGCGGCTATTGTAGAACCATGTGCCTGCTGTGCATGATAAACACCAAGGGGCGGCACAGCTTCCGGCGATGTTGCCTTAGTTTGGTTCTTGCTCTGCACTACTCCCTGACAGTTCATTAATGCTAAGCAAAGTGGCTTATTCACCCGAGCACACCGGCCGCAGCCACTCTGCAAAAGCTCAGTCTAAAGCACCGCAATATAAATGGGAAATTCACATTTCGCGTAAGTGACAATAAGTGGTGTAAGCCTGCACGCTCCCACAAATCAAAGAGCCAAGTAGCATCGCCCGCTGGTGCTACAATGATTTCCAGGGTCTGACTTCCCAAGCCAACAGTTATGACCAAAGGGCCAACCACGATGATGGTTGAGGCCTGGCTGGCGCAGGTGAAGTTGGTCACTTCCGCTCGCTACATCTTGCTTGTGTACGTTCAAAAGAAACATCCTTCTTGTTTGCTCACTTTGCATGGCGTGCCTTCTGCAAAGTTGGTTAGAGTCACAACCCCAGGTTTTGTTCAGCATAGGATACGGATAAGAGTAAATATGACCAAAGCCCTGGCAGGCTGCCGATGTTAAAGAATCTGGTCCCAGTTGTGGGGTCGCTAGAGCCTCCAAGTGTAAACCGCGACCGGTCTGAAACAAAAGATGGCTCAGCGAAGTGATGCGTTTCAAAGCGTTTCATGTTGCAGTGGCTGCAGCCTATTTTCCAGTAGAAGGAGCCATCACATGCACCGCAGACAGATGCGGTGGGACATTGGCTCATATCCGATGTCCCTTGACATGGCTTAGAATTGCTCCGTCAGCGTAAGCGCGGATGTGGCTGTTCCATGGAGGCCGCATCATAGACTGACCATCCCAGTACTGAGTCAGGAAAGCTCAGTCATGAGCAAGGGGCCAAGGCCGCGGAGTCACTTAATGTAAGAATTAAATATTGAGGACACAAGCAATCCCATGTCACAAAACAGCGCCACAAAGACATGTTACAGACCAAGGTTCGGAGTCCAACCAACCGACTGGAGGAATTCTGCAACTCAGTAGAGGACCCCGGACAAGTCAGGGAGCATTACCCTGTTGTTGATGGCCCAATCGTTGATATTTTTCCTTCTTTTTGCAAGGGTCGAAGCGATTGGCCGATGATTCTCGGGTAGTCGTCAAGCAAAATCCAGTTCAAATTTAGGAGGATCCTTCTTCAATTCCGAGTAACCTTCAACACTTTGCCCTGAACCAAGGAAAATTTATTTCTTCCAGGCAAAACTCGGGGGGGGGGTTTTGGAGCCTCTCAGAGAGAACGCTTCCTGGAGAGGCTCTATCTGGCTCTACCGAAGTGTCTTATGGTTTCAAGTTCGTAGTAGTTGTAGTACGCAAAAAATTTGAAACACGTGGGCTTAGGAAATGAACAGCCTGGTCTGCTGCTCGAGGCTAGCTTCGGGAGCCCGCCTCCGTGAAATTCTCAAGCACCGCCGTGATGTTTGCTGCCACCTGCGATGCGCATTGAGCAAAATGGCGCAGACACGCTTATATGTTGGCTGCATGGAATTCTGATTCCACAAGTTGACTGGCTACGAACGAGACCGCCATACCCCCCGTGCTTCTTGCAAACTCTCAAGGCTGCACACAAGCAAACACAACATAACACGATAAAAGATCTGGCCATAAGCTATTAGCAAGATTGCGCAACGGCTAGGACATTGTCGTCAACCACATCAGGTGCGGCTGCCTGCGAAAAGTCTGCTTGCCGAAGCTCGTCCAAGTGCACCATCGCTGGCTGCTGAGCAGAGCTGAAACGCAGTTGGGCTTGGTCAGCGCTGCCCTTAGATGTGAGCTGAACAAAATGGGCAGGAGGGGCAGCTCTCATTCCCTGCAAGCCTCAACCGGCTGCACCTCGAGCACCAGCGCTTCAGGGGCCACTTGCAGGAGTTCTGCCAAGGCAAGCATCAAGCCTGCCAAAGTTGCCAACTTCAACGGATGACAAACTTTGCAGACAGCCGGCAGAAAGCGCACATTGATGCGTTGTCGCAAACCAACAGCCCTACCTTCTCTGACTGTCAGATCTGCGAAGCTGTCGAGAGAATTCCTGAGCTTAGCCAAAACAAAGGCATCTCATTACCGAAGGGTCTTGCGTGATGATGCATGACGCGTTCGATGAATTTCTTCCAACATGCACAGTCTTTCAAAGACGTGTTGAAGGCAAAGCTGCACTTGAACTGTCAGCTCGCCGACGAGTGCATTGAAGCTCCCGCTGGTCTCGGCACAACTGCTCTAGTCTCTGCATACCCGCTGCGACCAGACAATCCCTGATCGGCAAAGAGGTGTCGAGAAAGGTACTGCACTCAGCGGCTGGCCGTGGACGTCCAAGCAGTGGTTGTTGCTGTTACGCTCTTGCTTTGCTGGACCTGACATGATGTGTGCTATACGGCGAGGCAGCTCAGTCTCTACTTAAGATCTCGCTAGCAACTCCTGGCCGTGCATTAAATAATTGCAGTGTGTGCCTCTGTGCAAGGAGGCAGTGCTCCTTGCAACGCGCCATCTTCGGAGCAGCGAAGAGTGGTGCTGTTGACGTGTCCCCAGCAGGCAACGATGCAAAAGGACCCAGTCCTCGCCCAGTGAGTTGCTTGAGGCACGGCCCCGCGTGGACAGCATGAGTAGGCAAAAACCAACGTAGAATGACTGATGTGACGGATCTTGCTTGGGCTTCAAGGCTCGAAAACGCGGGCAGCACGGTGCCTTAAGGTTTGCCGAGATGTGGCATAAAGGCTTGTCGGCAGCTTTTAAATTGTCCGGCAATGCTTGCTGGTATGGGCCTGCAGCCTTTTGCACTTCCTAGTCTTCTGTGCCATGTTGCGAGACTCCGTATGTGTGCTGCAACTAGCCTGTGCGCTTCTTCGGGCTGGCCCTCCGGTGGTGACCGAGACCTTCTAAAGCTGGCCAAAGGCTTGTTGTCGCCAGGTGTCGGAACAGCCGAACAGTTGTGGTCATACCTCGTCTCCCACGGGATGTTGTAGGTGCAAGATTCTGCTAGACACACCTTAGACCGGCTGCAGTACGCTGCAAGGACCCATGCCTTCAGCATCTTTCCATGCGACCTTCATGGTATGGCTTGCTTGCTTCGCTTGCTGCCATTTGCTGCAAAGCCACTGGAAAGCTTCCCCGCAAGGTGATGTCCTGTGCAGCCATACTAGTTGAACTCGTTGCCAATGACTCATAACGTGATGGGAAATTCAAGGCAAATGGCCCCTGAGGATACGCCAGGGTCACTTGGGCGAAGCTAATTAGCGGACAGCCACCAGGCTGGCACGAAGTTAGTCAGTCGAAGGCCCGGGGGCTTTGACGAACTTAGTCGAAGGGCCAGAAAGGTGTTTGCAAACCGAGGTAATCAACAGTCTTTCATTGAAGCAAAACTAGGTTACGAAGGCGATTCCCCACGAACCTTAGACGAAGCATGACGAAGAGGGAGCCCTTAGTCGAAGGCCTGGGGACTGGGCAGGGCTTAGACAATCTTTGTCGAAAATGCACTGGCCATACTCCCTTTGTGCCATTTCCCTTGGTTTGTCCCTGATAATGATAATGGTTTAGCGCAGACACGCCCATCCTGACCACCATCATCCACAGCTTGCAACCCACCTGAGTTCCGGATGCAATTTTGGAGGTTCGAGGAGGACTGAATCGCTTGCTGCAACCCAGCAATAGCTAGGCCTAGGGTAGGCTAGGTGTTGTCATGGGTTGGGCCGATGGGTAGGCTAGAGGTTGGGCACTGATTCTATCTGATACTATTATTTCTATTAATACCATTACGACTCTTGCTCTTGGTATCAGACCAGTACAAGTGCGAGTGCTACTCTACTATGAATTCCTATTTCTATTGCCAATGCTTTTTGAGGGTTCGATTACGATTACTATTAAGGGAACCATTCCGATAACTTTCTTTACTATGACTAGACTAGGACTGGACTATGACTATTTTTGCTATTCTTACAACCACCACTACTACTACAACTACTGCTGCTACTACTACTACTACTACTGCTACTACCCGTACCAATATTACAATGACTAATTGCCATCGCTGTTGCGACTACTATTGTTCCTCAGACTACTGCTGCACAACTACAACAACTATCACGTTGGCTAGTACTATTACTATTGCTGCTCTTACAGCTACCATTACTTTACAACCCAGCAACAATCGGGGCGTTTTTCTTTCAATATGGCTGCTTTGACGCACGCAAAGGAATCTAAGCAGACGATTACATGTGCAGTTTACAGTGGTTTTTGCCGAGTTTGCAAACACGCCTTGGGACGTTCATGCTTTTCTTTTACTTCAGGGTTTTGAGCAGCTCTGATTTAAATTGTTGGTCATTTAAAATGTTGGTCGCCCCATTAGTCCAAGGTTCGCCCCCTTAGTCCAAGAATGTCCAAGACTAGTGCCATCAGTCCAAGGTTTGCCCAACTAGTCCAAGGGTGTGAAGAGCTCTGAATTCTATCTTGAGCCGCCCCACCAGTCCAGGGTTCGCCCCATTAGTCCAAGGGCTTTCTCTCTGTGGTCACCAGCGCCACATAGGTGGCATTTATGTATTGAATTGTATTGATACCAGCTCCCTACACCTACCCCTAGCCAGGCCCTACTTCTCCGCTTCCTCCCATCGATGGGCCTGATCCTAGGCGCCTAAGAACCTATGGTCGGATTACGAGAGCCCAGCCTAGACCAATACCCGAGGCCGGCCTAGCCGGCGACTTTCTTTGTTTGCAACCCAGCCGAGCTATGCAAAAAAGAAGCTGTCCGCCCCAGCGCATTTCCAATGTTGCACGGGCCCTTCCAGTTTGAAACCAGGAGAACAGAAGGCATAGCAGCTGCTGTTGAATGGCATGTCCTTCACCCATGGCTGCAAGGGACATTGAAGCTGAGTCGTCACACAAAAGCATCACAAAACGCAAGAAGTTCGGGACACTTGCTGTGTACAGTTGCTGATCCTGACTGATGGGCGCGGCCTGCAAAACAAAATGGTGCTGGCATGGCCAAGTCTCGTCCACACACGTAGTTGTGAATTCCGGCCGAAGCAATGTCAGATTGCAAGTTGCAGGCCGGCCTGTGAACAGGCAGAGTTCAACCGCGTGGCTTGAAGAAACAGGTAATGCAGCGCCTTTGTGCAGACGGACTTGCGATCTCGCATCTACATACATCTGGCAGTCACTGTCTTAATATGTCTTAATGCAAACTGCCGTCCAGGGGCAGACCAGATCTTCTTCGGCCATCGACCCGATCGACGTCAGTACCCCAGTGGGATTGCAGATGAAGCTGTCCACAGCAGTTGAGCTTGGAATGTACCCGAAAGCACAGGTCTGCACGCAAGTCTGGCCGTTGAGCATGTCTGTGCAATTGTCTTTGAAGATTGCGTTGCGCGGTGGATAGCCAGTATCACAAGCAGCTGCGCTACAGTGTGGAAGTTGCCCGATGAGTGCAGGCTCGGACCCGTTGAGTGCACATTGCCATTGCTCACCTGGTCCCTGTGATTGGAAGCCGCTGGCACAAACCACGCTGCATGACCGCCCATATGAGAGAGTTGTGCAGTCGTGCGCATACCACGGATGTTGCAGCTGCATTGGCACAGGGCACGTCTGGGGCCTGCAGGAGGGGAGTTGGCCTGTCAAAGTGCCAGTGACATCACACGTCAAGATAGAGAAATTCTGCTCGAATCCAGATCTACAAGACGCAGAGCAATTCTCATGCATTGAGATGGAGGAACAAGTGGATGTGAAGGTAATATCGTCCGGCAGAGCCGAGCAAGTGGCAGGTTGACAAAGAGGGAGGTCGCCACGAAAAAGCCCACTTCGATCACATGTGAACTGTGCTCCCCAACCAGCAATGTAGAAGCCCGCAGCGCAAATCACCACGCATGACTCTCCAAAGAGTTTGTTGCGGCAGTTGTGCTGAAAAGCAGTTCCAAGCTGCAGATCAGAGCAAGAGTCACGCCTGCAATCTGGGCTTCTGCCTCGGTCACTTTGTGGGAAGCACTGCTTGAAAACTATTGCCAGACTGCCAGACAGTCAAGTTGCCTTGAAAAGACCCCGCAGCTGTGCAAAGAAATTCTTCCGGCCCAGGCGATGCGTAGTAGTATCCCTGGGCAGCGGTTCCAATGTTACTGCCAAAGTCCATGAGACATGCCACATCATGCCACTGATGAATCTTTACAGATGCATAGCTTGGGGCAAACAAGCCCATGGTGGAACTTTGGTGGCTTCCAGAAAATCCGAAGATGCTCTGCCGGCCTCAGTGTCCCCTGTGTCATATTTGGGCCGGTCGTTCAGGATGTTTCATTCATTGGCTGCAGTCACATGCGTGCCTTCATCCTAGAACTGGTTAGAGCAAACGTGCTTGCTAAACAGCCTAACAGGCTTGAAGGCTTCCTGCTGCTATGCCCATTGTGCAACGTGCACTGCTTGTGGCGCCGGTGGCTTTGAGTCGACGGCTTTTTCTCTCCCAGATTTGTTGGCTCTGCTCTCGGCCAGCCTGTTTCTGCTGCATTGCACTTCTCAACACCAACCTCCGCAAACACTCCCTTGGGTCACGCTTGCTACGCAGCCTTATCCGGATTGTCAGAGGACCATTATAACGCCCACAAAATCCATCATGAGCACCAGAAACAAATTGCTTCTGTTAGATGAGGCCACATGAATTGACATCATGGGGCAGTGTCGGCTGAGGTGTGCAAGAAGACATGAATCTCCCACAGCGCAGGCCCTACAAGCCAGTATCATGAGTATCGCCGGGGTTGTGTTTCCGTGACCGACATGAATTTCGACGAAGTCGACTTCATGCAGCGCCCACTCGCAACCCTCTGTTTCCAGCGAAGCCGCACCCAAGTTTGTCCCAACTGTGATGCTGTGTTATGGGGGAGGTTCACGACACACGGACACAGCGCATGGCCCAAGTGTACCAGGTGTAGTCTGCTTCTGCCTTCCGTGTCTTGTCTTCCGATAACCCCGGTGCCGAGCAGAATGCTGTTCTGTATGTACGATTATGTCATGTTATCAATGTAGTGCCCACACGGCATGCCCTGCCTCCATGCACCTGGCCACGCAACGCTCTCCTGTCTTTGCCCCACTGCAATTGGAGCTCACTCCCAAGGCATTCGGAAAGTTGAAGCTGCAAACCTGCGCGAGGCATTGCGGCAGTCCTCAGAAACAAACACCCTAACTCTCGGGAAGGAGGAAGGGCAGGCAGGTCAGCACAGTTGTCTGAGATTATCACTCCGCATGATGAAGCGGCGGGCACCTATTCCGTGGAGCCCAACATTAAACCTAAATAGATGCGGCCGCAGTGGCTTCCAATCAACGATGCATTCCAGCAAGTGAGGAAAGCCGGCTGTGGCTCTACCATTTCCCAACCTGCGCAGCATGACCACTTGGAGAAACAAGCTTTGTCACTACCCTTCCCTGTATTGTTTTCAACCTGCCTTCGCTGCAGTGGGCAACACACATATCTCCGGATGCCATCTCGTGGCAGGAATGAGTAATGTGTTGTCTGCTCAACCTGGCAAGGCTCAAGTATTGTGTCATCGTTATCAGCACCTTTAGCTGCACATGCAACAAAATGTGCCGCCATGATGCAGAGCTGCTGCCGCCGCGTCATCTGAGCATATCTCCATATCTGCTAAGCGTCTAGAGTGCCTTGTGCAGTTGATGTCTTCCTCGACAGCTAGAAGCTCCAAAGCATCTGTGGCATTGTTCAGGCCGCAGCGATATCTTCTGGGTGTACCAGACCATCCACTCTCACAGTAAGCCCAGCATTGCGAATTGGTGGTGGAGTTGACACAGGTACTGCGGACCCCGGACCCGAACTGCCCTGCAGGACAACTGTCTGCCAGCACCACGGGTATATTGCCGGAAAAACTACCGTCAGCTTGGCAAAAAAGCATGGCTGCCTGAATGTCCTGCCCATGGACTGAATCAAAATGGTAGCCTGCAGCTGCCTCCACCAAACAGCTCTCATTGGTTGTTTTTCCGGCGCAGTTGTGCCTGATACCTGGCAGATTAGGCATGTTCGCTGTGCACGGCAGGGCTTGGCACTGAGGACCGCCAGCTTCAAGCGCATTGACGTAGCTGCCCGTACTTTCAAAGTACACGGAAAAGCCTGAGCTAGAAATTGGCGCGTCGTCACACACCAGCACAGTAGCATTGCCTTGCAGCGCCCAACCCTCTTGGCAGAATGCTGAACAAATTCCACCAAAGCCCAGTCCATCACAAGAGTGTGCGATTTCTGCAGCGCTGAACGCAGGCACCGCAGACAAGTCTCCACAAAGCTTCGGCACGCATTGAAAGGAACCCTGCGAGGGAGTGAAGCGGCCATTTGTGCTGCAAGTCATTTGTGAAGAGGAGCTGCCGGAGTAGCCATTTTGACATTTCAGGGAGCAAGTTTCAAATGTTCTCTTCCCCACACAATCACTCGCATCCATGCCAGGCTCAAGCCGAACAGATTCCAACGAGCATTCAAACCCAACGCAATCTGGCAAGCTTCCTTGCAACATCCCATCTGCACAGCGCAGCTGTGAAGACAGTCCTCCAAATCCAGCTTGGCATTCGGCAACGCAAGTTTCGCCGTGACGGGCTCCGAAACAACTTGTTCTGACGCCACTCTCCATCAAAGCGCTGGGCAGGCGGCACACTTTGAGTGAGCACGGGTTTTCAAACCCATGCAGCGTACCGTTTCCCAGACAGGTGTACTCCGATGCTTGACCTTCGTAGCCGTATGCGCAGGGCACCAGGCAAACATTCCCAGCTCTCATGTCCGAGCAATCTGAGAAGTTGCGGCTGATGTCTGCTGCCTTGCTTGCCAGACTTTGGCGGCAGTCGGCAAGCTTGCAGGTTGGCTCAAAGCCCAGAAATGAGCCATCCGCTGCGCAAATGTACAAAGATTCCGCAGAATGGTATCCTGTTGGACATCTCCTGGACAAATTACTCAAGAGCACGTTGACCGATTCTAAGATATGCCGACTTGTGCGAAAACTCAAAACAGATTATGATGCGCGCCAAAGGCGCACGAAACATACTTCCCCAACAGCTGTCCTGAGCGCGAAGCAGCTCCGCAAGCGCAAATGCGTGCTGCATGGTCGGTCTCCAAGTTCATCATGTTAGCGTGTAGGCACTGTAGGCCAGCTAAGATACAAAGGTATTGAGTGAACTCAGCTCCAGACTGTGCGCAGGATGCCGTGTCGTAGCCACTGGGAAGCTGGGCAGTGCTACAAAACCTCTCCTAGCAGGAATCACACAGGCGGGTGCATATGAGATGTTCCTGTTGCTGCAGTTGCTGAAAGATGTTGAAAGTACAAATTTTGGGGCATGAAGACATACGAAAGCAAAATGGCAGGCCTGGCATTCCAGCTGAGATGAGGCCCTGAAAGCTCCATCTGCCGCACATAGATACTGTACAGGAGAACCTGAAAAGCGACCGGAGCATCGGACTGTGCAGGTCGCACCTGGTCCAACGCACAAGCGCATTGGCACTAGAAAGACAGTGTGTAGCCAAGAGTGCAATACTCAACCCTTTTGGTCATGGCAATGTCAAGGCCGATGCATTTGGGCGTTCTGAATTGGATGGATTCGTGTACTTGCGGCACCTGCTGCAAGCAGACTTTTTTCCTTTCCCCACAGCTCGCGCGCATGCTAGCTGCCAGCGCGGGAAATCATGGAAGGCTCTCTCACCCTTGTTGAGCTTCAGATTTACTGAAGCTCATGCACCGCTTGCGGGCATGATGCTAGCTCGCGCATCCTTAAGAACATCCTGAAATCCAGGTGAATGTTGCGGAGCTCGTTTGGAGTAAGGATGAGAAGGCGGTTTCGGGACCATGCGCAATCACAACATTTACATTTGCAAAAAGTGGCTTCCCCCTGCGATCAAAGCAAGTATTGTGCACAGTTCTTCCGGTACACCCGTCCGCTCTTGGATGCCCCATATTGCTCCATGATCGACATGATAAGTTTGTAGCCCATCAATGGAATTCGTGCCAGCACACACTCGCATGTTTCTTGTTATCTGCGCACGAGTGGTTCATCCTTGATGCAAAGCCTTGGTTTCAAGTTCACACGCTTCTGTCCAGCCCACGCGCAGACTTCCTGGCAATTTGGGCATTTCATTGGCGGCCGCACGTAACTTCACAGGAAACTGTGAGTAAGCTTTGTCCTTCTCAGCTTGCAGGAAGTTCTCGTTGGCAGCCCGCTAACTTGCTCTAGAAAGGCCGGTCAACAGCCAGCCCTCTGGCTCCTCCAGCCAGTGGCCAGTTCGCACAGTCTCCCAGGTATGAACTCACTTTCTATTGCACCCCTTCTATGAAAGATTTTGAAAAGCAATAATGTACCCCAACATTTTTGTGTGAAGCCTGCAGGAACTTCCCGAACAGCTTGCATTGTATGCTGTGGATGTGATGCTTGAGGGGCGGTTGAATGAACCTGAAGCTCGCGATCGCGATTGGAGTATAGACAGCGCTACTTCCATTCCCAGCACACCCCGCAATCGCAAGTTCTGCAGCGACGTGTCGTGTAGTGCTTGATACAGTTTCCCATATCCAGTGATGAGGGCGCTGCAGCCCGTTCGGCACAGAGTGCCTCTGAAGCTTGCAGACGCTTGATCAAGTAATGTAATTTGCTCTGCTAAGTGACATGAAATCATCAAGCGTGCCTGCAACAATCCCGAAGCAGTCGCTGGCGTCAATGCCAACACCAACTGGAAGGCCTCCTGAGCAACGAGCATCGCCAGCGTCCACCAAACTTGTAGTGGTCCTGACAACAAGATGTGGCAATGTGCCTTTGTCCACTCCTTAGCCTGGCTCACTTGCTTGCCAAATGGTCCTTGTGCATGCCGGCTGCTCACCGGAGAATGTGAAGTTGGCTTGGCAGATATACTGGGAAGGAGTACCCTCATAGCCTGCAGGACACGGCACTTGGCATGCTTCGCCTGGCAGCAGGGAGTAGCAATCCTCGACCTCATCAACGTCTGGGACCTGACAGGTCAGAAACTGAACACTTGAAGTCGTGGATGTAATTGTCACGGTCGAGGTCAAGGAAAAGCTAGTTCTCGTAAAAGTGGAGGTCATACTGGAAGTTGTTGGAACGTCTGCTTGACCGGTCGATGATCGTGTGGTAGTGGAAGACCTCATCCGCTGCAAAACTCAACATGTAACTGCTTCTGGCACTACAGCGACCCGAGGCTGTCGTCCTGCCAAGACAATCCAAGAGATCTTTCTGCAGCTGGGGCTCCAGGTAATTGCACGAGGCGGCTCAGGCAACAAGACGAACCTGCAAGGGCTCAGCACCGGTTGAAAGACGGGCATCAACTCTGCTTGCTTCTTGGCATTTCGCCGCTGATGCCAAGCGACTGCCAAGTCGGCATGCACTTACCTTGGCATCGCAGCGAACAACACAAATGCATCTTCTAGCTTGACTGGAGTAACCAAGCTGCCACTTTCGTAAATGGGTCTGAATGTGCAGTTTGGATTGGCTTCACATTTGCCGACATCTTCAACGAAAAGGGCGCACTCCTGGGCTCTGAGAATCAAGCAGTTCGAAAATGTTGCAGGCACCCGTAGACATGGTGCAGGTAGTTCCACTGCTACCAAGACACACTTATGCTTGCCAACTGGGCATCGTACTCACTTGGACCATATAAGCTGCCTGAGGTAAAGAGCGTGCAAGGCCAGGCCACATCATTTTGAATGCAGGCGTGGTTCAAGGTCTCGTGTCTGGCGGATGTGGTGTCCACAAAGTGGTCCACGGTCTCCAACCTACACGTGCCTGAACATGCCCGGAGCACGCGCAGTTCCGGTGTGAAACATCAATCCCACAACAAGTTCTCCTACTCGCATCCACACGCTGCCGTACGTACCAAGCAATCATCCTGCTCTGCAATACTTCTCAATGTGTGGCGTGAAGCTGCGGTCCAAATTTTCAGGGCGTAGAACAAGACAGGACTTGTAGTAGTAGATAAGAGACCAATTACTGCTGACATCATGACGGGCACAAATCTACAATTCTCATATCAAAGCCTACTGGATGCAGCAAATTTGCGCCTGCCCAGCACAACCAAAAAAAGAAGCCACAATATGGAGCAAACTTTTTCAGCAAGCAAAATGATAACACTCCCAACAAATTGAATGTAGTTTTTGAGGGTTTAGAAAATTCCCTTAAACAAGTTAGCGGGGACTATGGGAGGGCCTCCGTATTCCGTATCCGTGGTCTCTCGGAGAGGGATTGGTTTTGGAACCCCATGACTCGGACCCAGCTCAGTCCTTGTTCTTCGGCATGTATTTGAACGGCCGGTTCACCGATACCAGCCTGAGACAGGCAGGAGGGTTAACTAGGTTGCAACTAGACTCGTTATTGAAAGTTTGCAGGTCCATACATCTGCGCCCTTCGCAGTGAAACAAGAACTTCAAGCTCCCACGACTTCAAGTATCACAGCAAGACTGCGCCGCTTCAGACTGGTCAACCCGCCCCATGAGGAATTTGACGTCACTTCAATCTACGCCTGGAGTTGGACCGGGGTGGATTGAGTTACAGGTTGCGCTTCTGCATCCTTTTGCTGCAAAAGGCAAAAAGGTGCAAGTAGCAAGCACCTGACACTGCCCTAAGCTGCACAGCCAGGCAGCCAGGCCATGTAGTCATCTGCGGTTGGTCCAAGCAGGTAGTCGCAATCTTCATAGCTACCCATCGTGCTGACTGCCACCTTCCAGGTCTCGCAGAAAGCTCTGACGTCTTCCGTCATAAACACGGTCTCATAGGTATCGTGGTGGTACAACAGCTCCACCCCGAAGAAGGCTTCAGCCTGGGAGTCAAAAAAACTGAAACCAATCCAATCAGTACAGTATATAGGGGTTTATATTGGAGTTCTATGGGGATAAATGGATAAGAAAATGGAAGCGACTATATTGGGGTTATATAGAGCTTCAGTCTTTTGAACATGTGAGCACGTAAAGAATGGTGCCTGATCCAGTGCCGCTGTGCACTCCCGGTACTTTGTGCAATATGCCGACGATGCAGGCAGGTAGGGTATCACAGGATGGCCATCCACATCTGTCAAAATCTGCACCGGTCCGGAGATGAAATGATATGTGTCAGTATACCTGGGTTGCATCTGGTTGCATGACCAGAGGCCGGAGCTAGGCGCAGTCAAAAGAATGCACATGTCGGGAAAAACATCACGGTAGGAATGCACAGCAAGCTGCACAAATTGTTCGGTGCTGACTGCATGCGCAGCGTCGCAAAGTGTTGTTTCAACGCTTCCCGTCCAAACCTTTTCTTGCACATGCGATGGTCCTGCAAGGATGCACCAAATGGAGCAACGTACATCCCCGTCGACCCGATCTGCGTGACCATCCAATCATCCAATCCAGACCACAATCAACAGCTTGAGTTAAACATTTTTCCTGGGGGGGATCCAAACCCTCAAAAGGCGTCTGAAAGCACATCAAGGTATCTGATCGATATCTTCAAACACATCCTGAATCCATAGCGAGGAAATTAAGTGCCTGTCAGGTCTGCAAGGTCAACCCTTGTGGATGGGGAGTGGTGGGGAGATGTGCAGGTCCTTTTGGAGTGTCGATCTGCGTTGAATTGTCTGCATCCGCGAGGACCAGGACATTGCCTTAGCATAGCATGTTCACGCATTTTCCATCTGACTGTGCTAGCAGTTATGGATGCATGATCGTTATCTGAAAATCATATCAATCAAGGCTCGAAAGGGGTGATGTGCCTCTTTGAGGCTCTGTAGCAGCAGAGACTGGTGCCAATCATGAAAAGCGATCACTGCAAGTGTGAGCTGTGACTGGTCAACATTGTGAAGTATGTTGTTCAAGGCGGCATGTCGCACCTGCAAACACAAGCTGTATGAATTGATGCACTGAAAGATGCTGATCTTGAGAAGCAAAGAGCACAAGTCGACATCCGCGGCACGAACTCTCCAGACTCGAAGCTGGTGTTCAGCAATGTGTTGGCATAGTTCCCAACAAGCAAGGAATCATCTTGATAAGGCTGATCACCTGAACAGCTGAACAGTGTAGCGTGCACACTGATGCAAGCCTCCCTGAATCATCTCACAACACAACTACGACATGTTGAGGCATTTGTCTCGCACCACCACCACCACCACCACCACCACCACCACCACCACCACCACCACCACCACCACCACCACCACCACCCTAGTACTACCGCTCGGTGCCTGGTGCGACGGATTGCTTCCATGCTGCCGCAAGCCAAGTAGGTGCATCGTCTGCAGCGTCCGAAGAAGCTTGCAAAGATAGGGCAGCCATGCGAACGTCAAACGCAATACCTCAGGTGCGAACTGTTTAGAGAACTAGCCCAGATGCTGGCTGAAGCGGTACGAGTTTGCACTTTCCAACTAGAACACGTGTTTCCAGAAAATCTTTCCAAACTGTCTGCTTTAAGATGCTGCTGTTCTCTGTTGCCAGGTCCTCCTGAAGCTCAAAGAGTTTGAACTCATTCAAAGATGGCTCTATGTCAGCAAGTGCAACTTCCTCCAACTGGTCTGCCAGGAAATGAAGCCACGGATGATTGAGAAAGTAGATGGCGTTGCCATTGACATGCTTCAACAGCCTTGCATACAAAGGCTTGGTCGGTTCTCTGAGGGTCCATAACATACAGCGCTTTTTGTGAACTTCTGAAGTCCGCTGAGTCAGTAGGACCTGGTCTGGAACTACATGAACTTCGAAATCTTCTTGCATGCGGATACGGGTAGCTCTATCGATGATAGCTTCTTCCTCGCACTGACCCGCATTATGGCGCAGGTTTTGTAAACTAAGTCATGCTGGCGGATGCGGGAACAGGAAGTGCGCAGCAATGGTCTGAGCGTGGAGACGTCATTGGACCCTCTGATAGGTGGCAACATGAAGCCATGGATCACAGAACGTGTTCAGCCGTAGGTTGTGAAACATTCTTTTTCACAACTACTGGGACTGCTTCTTGTTGAGTTTTACAGCACCGGTAGTAGTTTCAGGCGCGCCTTCCATGGGTTTGACAATGCAAAAAAAAACGGTTTGTTCGTCTATCCGAGACTGCTGCGGGGAATTTGGAAGTCAAGCGTATTCAAGGCGATTGTTTGCATGGTTTTTTCTATGCAGCGGCGTCAACCACAGAAGCTTTTCCAGAGCCTGCAAACACTCTGTGGAACTCCAGCTCCCAAGCACTGAATGCCGGGACGGATGCCCTTGTCTACGCCACATGCGCGGAGATATGGATTCACTCCCAGATGTAGGCTGTCTTGGGGCACAGCACGGACGCGCAAGGATGCTGATGCACTCAGACAGGACGTTATTCCATATCTTGCCCAGCATGGATGCGCAGGGTTTTGGATGCGATGCAATACAACGTCGCGGCCTTGCTGGCGCCACAGAATTTGAGCCGTGGGCCAATTATTTAGGTACACTTGGTATGGCTTACAGCTTCGATAAATGCTGGCTCAGCACTCAGTGGGAATTTCATCCAGAAATTGATCCCACGAATCGCCGCGGTATCGGCTCCCGCGGATGGCTGCTCGCGGATACACCATGACCTCCCGAAGTCGGCTTCCAATGGCATCCACACCATGTCAAACGTGCCTCGGCGTAGAGCTGATCCAACCATAGGCTGCGAAGAGGGACCGAATCAAACTCCTGAGTTCCAAAAAACCTCCAAGCTCCTTGCCACAGAGCCTAAGGGCTTCGGCAAGCTAGAAGTGACTCAGCCTTTCTGAGCGCATCAAATGGTGAAGGAAGACAAGGTCAAGAGACCATGAAGTAGAACGCGGCATAGTCGGCGGTGGAAAATTGTCTCGCCAGAAGACCACGCAAGATGTAGCCTAGGCTGGCAAAATGCTTACTTGATGCTGCATTGTCAACATAATACTTGTGCAATCTTGCGCTCAAGGTGGCATCTCATTTCTGTGGCTTCTCTGCAGCTAAGAATCTGAAAACCTTGTTTGGGCCGTGGACCCAATCCTTGCGCACAGCGTAGCCGCGGGAGTCGTAAATATCCTCATTGAAAAGAGAGCGAGCAAGAAAAGAGAAGCGTAAACGGGAGTGTAGGAATCATCAGCACTGTTTTACAACGCTGGCCAAACTCCAAGATGGAAGCTGGCTTCATGGGGCGTAGATGAGGGCGTCTGTTTGTTTTTTTTGGAATTTGAGCTTCTATTTGCAACCTCCCAGACATCATGGTCCTAAGCGCAAGATTTTAACCTTGTGCGGCTTCATCACGTTGGGGGGCTCTGGCCAGCAGTGATGTCCAAAACACTTTGATTCAACGACTATTCAAGGTCATGTTCCACAAGCTCCCCGTCATTTATTGACCAGTGTAGTTGGAGATATCCTACCTGGCAAGAATGCAACTTGATCCACTCTCATTTGCTTCGATTGTTTCAAACGAAGCCAAGCTTTTTACAGCAGAAATTGAATGGCCAGCAAGTACGACGAGACCGCAGCAATACTGATGCCCGCAGCACAAAGAACATTCTGCTCATCAGAAACAAGTCAACACGACACGTTTCCCATGACTAACCGTTGCCATGGGAGAAGGCGTCGGAGTGTTGGGCAAAGGATCGTATCAACGCTAACTACGACTAGCAATATTCGTGTGTACGTGTATATCAATGTGCCATAAGTTGCTGTGCGACGGCAATCTGGGTAGCAATACCAAAGATGAGAACAACAGAAATACTGAGGATGGCAAGGACCATATCAATAGCAACCCACAAGTATTTGCACACAGTCAGAATCGTAACAACCACTAGCAGTGAAAGCAGCAACAGTAGTAAGGAAAACCCACGGCAACCATGACAACAAGACTACTCCATGCACAAACTGCATTGTTTCTCAACAATGCTCGTGCTCACTAGATTGTGTCCAGGTAGAGACCCTCTTCATTGCTGATACCCATTTTGTTCAACAAGCAGCAACACTGATAGCAATAGACAGACAATCACCATATTGGCCTCAGATTTGCTCTGACGATGCTACCTGGTCCGTTGTCAAAAGCGAATCACCCAGATTAGGTCGCAGGAAGCGTCTACGTGGGGAGTTGCCTTGCGTCCAAAAACAAGAAATCTAGGCGCATTTGTGTCCAAGCCAAAAAAGAGCTCAATCTCAATTTATGGTTCGTGTCTCCTATAGTAACAGCTTCCTTGCAAGCACTCTTGACACCTGGAAACTGGGTTTAGGATGACATTCAATGTAAAATTCATGCAACGCATCATGAAACGGTAAATGCAAGTAGTCGCAAAAACACAGGACAGTGCAATGTTACAGCTGCTGCTGCTGTTACTGCTGCCGCTTTGACTTATACTCACACTGCTGAAAGTGATATATTGTTGATTTCCCCTTATTCTTTTCGTGTGTTCCTTGCTCTCTGTTTTGCGTGCATTCTTACTTCTTCTCTCAAACTCAGATTCTATTCCCTCCCTTCAGAAGCCAGACAAATTGCCAGGCTTGCCAAAGTGCGACGACGCCCTTACTACGGCTTTGTCTGCGCAGCTGGTGAATCTGCAGAGTTGCACGCAGTTTCGGTTTTCGAGCACGTGACAACTTAAAACTAACAAGCCCGCCTCGGGCAAAACTGGTTCCACCTCCAATGGCAACCGGCATTAACCATCCAGCTTTGCAACGCTGCAAGGACTTAAAGAGCCCCCCGAGCAAACTGCCAAGTCCACACATGATTCCTGGAAACTGGTCCAGAGTTACCATTTCAACTTGCGCACAAACGCATCGTAAACCCAGTCCTCAGCAGCGGTCAAGTTCGCTGCTTGAATGTAGAGCGAACGAAAACACCTGTGAAGACTCGCCGTGAGCTGCCATGGAGCATGTGTTTCTTGAAGGGTCCTGTGCCACGGCTGTGTCCTGTCTCGGAAGGCGGCATTGACGCGCTCCACAGCCGCAACAGCGTCCAGGTTTTCACTGAATTTTCCTAGCTGACGCATGTTGTTCATTCTTCAGTTTCCGGAGCGGCTTGCTACGACACATACACGCCAAATTCGGATCATCAATCCTGCCAAGAAACTACTGTACCTTGGTTTGCATGAAGATGCAACTATAACTGCAGGATAACAATAACCCATCCGCGTTCACACGGGGTCAACTGCATTCGTGGGAAGATAGGGGCTATGCCCATGATCAGACAGCCTTGAAGCAAGAGGCACGAGAATCAAATCGAATTCGGCGAGTGCTTTGTCGCCGCATGGGGAAACCGAGTTCCAAATTGCAAAGGCTTGGTCCATCTCCTGAAAACATCTGAAAACGTTGGAGTAGAAAAGAGGGAAGCCGACCGTTGCAACTGCCTCTAGTTGCACTTGGTGTCAAGAGAGGTCACAAACCAAGTTTGCAGAACGTCCTGGATCTCCTGGCTGCTTGCGAAGGGCCGCACCACTGCGAGCTCTTGCGCTATGGCTACCTGAGTCTCTCAGAATTTACCGCAAAGCAGAATCTCGGCCATTTTGAAGACCCTGAAAGTCTGACTTACGCCTTACGCTTCATGCTTCGCTGTCAACCTCTTCGCCCCAGCCCGGTTGTAATTCGGCTTTTCGCAGAGGGACATGTGCCGATATGAATTCTGAGCTTCCCTTTGCTAACATTGCGATGAATGCAGCGGCTTGGGTGACACGCCGACTGGCTTACAGTCTCTGCTTGAGGGAAAGATCCAGGTACTCAATTCTCTTTGACATTCTTTGACCATTGAACCTTCTAACAAGTAGAGGGTTGGGTGTGCCTTCCTCAGACACCCAGAGCCTTCACACTGAGGTGTAAAGATGTGTAATGCCTAGAGCATTCCCGAAGGCGCCTCCAAGCAGAGCCAGGCCAATGCCGTGACACGGCGCATCTCCTTCTGCCACAGTTCAGAACCCTTGCAGAACTCTTTCAAACTCTCTGGAGCAGTGAACTCTGGTAAGAGATGCATTAGACGCATAGCCACTTTCCCAGGCTAGTGCTTCGTCACTGCGTGAATGCGCTCACACGGCATTGTAATCTTGATAGCAGGGAACAAGGCATGCAAAGCTACAGAGACTGACCAGCGCAGCCTGTCCTATTCGGCCATGCGCATGCGTACATTAGCATCTGCGGTGTCAAATGCCAAACAACAAACAAAGCATGCCCCAAAGGCGCTACTTGCTTGCTTGCACATGCCGTCAGTCTCGGCAGGATAAGGTTGGGAATGGCTGAACAGGGATGCTAAGGAAAAACGGTATCATGAAACCACTCCTGGAACCAGATAATCCTGCGCGTCTTGAGAATGTTCAAGACGTGTGTGACATGCTCGTAGAAAGTAAGGCAGGAGATGGAAATGGAGAGGCCCTTCAACAGCTTGAGCTGCTTCAGCCAGTCGGTGGCAGCGGGTCCGGCCTTGTCCGAACCACTCCCACAAGAGCCTCTGAAAGACGGGTGAAGCCTTAGCACCCTAGCAATGAACAATTTGGTCTTGCTCCGAATTTGCACCAATTCAATGCTGAAGCAATTGGGCGTGCTTTGCACGCGGGCTGCAGCAGACATGCAGCAGGACTTCGTCCTACAATCCTACAACTACGGATAACTACGGTACACTGCTCAAGACACTGGGCTGCAAAGCTATGAATCCAACCACTGGTGCCAACCACTTTACGTGCCATCTTCAGCCAATTCTCTCCTGGAGGCTTCAGCAGCTGTGCAACTTTTATGTGTCTCAGGCATCCACGCGAATCTTTGTCACGTAGAGTCGGCATTCATCGAAAAAAAACGTGGCGTGACAGCTGGGCTTGAGCTCTGGCATTGGAAAGGCGCCCTCGTGCGCATAGTCTTCAGAACTCGAACTGCTGGCCACGAATGACATCATCCTCAGATTAGATTGCGCGGGCACTCATGCAATGTTCATGTAGCGCCGGCATGCTGCCAACTGCTAGCTAAACTTTCGCATGCATTCAACGTATCAGAAAGTCACTTGCGAACTGGCCACAACCTGGACAGATTCGTTGTCTGTGTCACATACGTCAGCGTCCAAAGACCTGAGTCTTGTGAGGCTGCCCAGGTCATTTGGAGAAGGCACCGTAACAGTAAGCTCGCATTACCACAGCGCCAAGACGCGGTGCCCTTCTTCCAAGTGGGGTCTCGATTTTTGGAGAGACGGCCTGGCAGCCCATGGCAACCCCGCAAAAACGTGAAACCTCATGTCTGAAGCAGCTTTAATAAACACGCGATGCTGGTACCCACTTCCTAGCAAGAAATAATCATCAGAAACAGATGAGGCAAGATGTTGCGATATCGGAGCTGCATGCGGAATGGGAATGCAACGCAGTGTGAGCTGCGACCTGCCCACCTGCCTTTCCTTGGCATTCAAGACCAGGCGATTTCTTGCGTGATTCTTTGCTAGCCTTTAACTAGCCTTTAGAAACTACGGCGTAGTTTTCAAGAAGCAGCGACTCGTGCTTTGCAACATTCTGCAACCCTTAAAAGGGGTAGGGGCGGCAAGTGGGATCCCCCAGAAATGTGCCCGGCCGAAATCGCCTGTTGGGGTGCGCCCGGAAGATGGCCCCGAATTGGACGTCCCCCCTTTCCAGGTGTTTCCATGATGCACGTACATAAATACAGGCCAAGTTCCTTCCGAGGAAACAAAGAACTGCCATTTGACGTCGTGAGCGGACACATCGAGTATCGCAGCATCGGTGGATTCACGACGAGGGAGTGACAACTTTTCATGATGCTGTGGCAGTATAGTAAGGCAATAGCCAACTGGCAGTGAGTCAGGCGTCAATGCGTGAGCATTCCCAGAGCAGGACTGGAACAAGCAGTGGTCAGGAACATGCGCGACGCATCAAGCAATGGTCCAGTAGCGAACACACCAGCCACGTGTTGGCAAGGCCCTGTACCAATGGCGGTCGGGAACATTCAGAAAGTGTGTCCGGAACATTCAGAAAGTGTGTCCGGAACGCACCTGACTCCAGACCAGTCAGAATTTGTCTCCCAACCATGAGTCAACGCAAATCAGCCCAGCAGCTATTATGCACTCAAAATTCTTCCTGTTTTCTGTTCTGGACTGCAGCTATGAAGTCGACCAATCTCCAATGCGATGCACAGAAAGTAAGAACTCGTCCGAAATCAGAAGCAATCCCAACAGATCCGGGAATAACCAAACCAATGATCTTTCTTTCTGTGGTGTCATTTCTCGGAGAAACAACCTGGATTACAGGTCTTGTTTGGAAAAATCACACTTAACCATCTAAACCAGTCTCCGACTTGGAGCTTTGTAAAATTGACATCCCCCGAGTCATTTGGACAACAAAAGCAAATCCCTTAGAAAATATTGTTTGTCTGCTCCGGCGAGCGTGGGCAGAGTTCTCCCTGCAGAAACAGTTACTGGCTGTCTGTGGTACGATGTTCCAGACACAGGTCACTGACACTTCCAGCTGCTGTTTCCGACTCTATGTGTCGTGAATTCCGACTTTTGCCCGCTCTGTTCTGGGCTGGCGCGTTCATGACGCAACGCCCCTGTGTGTAAAACGACCAGCATTCGTCACGACATGTTGCGTGCACGGCTCATGTCTGAGAAGCTTCTCTCCTTGCACTGTCCGCCTCACAAACATCACCATATAGATCTGCATCTTCGAGGCAGAAGCTGCCTCACAGTGGCAACTGAACATGCAAATGAAGATGCGAGTCCACAGGCATGCATCCTGAGTTGGTCTCGCCTGATGCAGCCGGCAAGATGGCACGTTGAGAAGAAGAATCCTCGAATGCATTCCAACGCTGTTCCGGTAGCCGAATTCCTACAGCACTACCTGTGCAAATTCTTTCGGCCTCGAAATTTATGCCGGAATCGACCAGCTCATCAACGGCAGCTAAGAGTTCTGCGCTTGGCTGTTCTCCTGATCCTGATGAATTTGATATGTAATTTGTAGTTCAGCTGTCATATGACCAAATGCAGCAGACTTGAGAACAGGACTAGGCATACCCGTGCCTCCTTGCCATGGAGAAGTTGCCTTGTTTGAGGCTTTGATGCGGGCTGCGCATATGCAAGATAGACGGCTGCATCGGCGCTTACCGACACCTTTTCTCATGCGCATGCCCTGCAGCTAGTGACAATGATCGGCTTCACATGCAGCTGAGCTCCGTACAGAGAAGCTGACCCCAATTTCCTGCAGATCCATCATGACTTGTTGAAGCCCCGCGTCAGCGTCTCCTCTTGAACTTATCGAAACACAAGCGGTAGCACATGCTTGCTACTTGCTCTCCTAATTCAACTTCTTCTGCAATTGGACACTGGAAGGAATCCTGGCCAGCACATGCCCAAGCCGGGCCACCATGAACTGAGCACGACTGTTCCAGCCTCCCATGAGCCATCCACTTCCAGGCCAACGCCCGCATCAGCCAAAAGCTCCAGTGCTGCTTGAAGCTCGGGGTCCCGGGCTGAGGTCAATCCACACACGACAACAATGCGAATGGGAAATTCTATAGGCTAGGCATCATCAGACAGGCAAGCAACACGCGCCTTCGTCACCATCCGCCTCATGCAAGATTTGCCGGATGGCAGCGCAAAATATCACTTTATGCTTCTTGATGCTCAGAATTGAATCTTGGCGTGGATGACATTCTATGGTGACTTGCACATTTGGACATGGCTTGTATCCGGCCTTTCTCCGTGGGCTCAGCGAGCGAGGCACCACACCTGGGCACAAAGAGACAGCTGTTCGTCCATGGTCCGCGAATTGCGCGTGAATCTTCAGTCTTGTCCTGGAGAGCCCCAGCACAGGTGCAGGAGGCACATTCGTTGTCTGTGCTGCGTGGCATCATCTCCGGTCCACCACTGCTTGGCAGCTGGCGCTTTCGCTTACGGTAATACCATTGCAAAAGCTCCTTGCATATCCTGGCCCTTCTTGTTTGTTCAGCCATGGCCAAGAACTGAACGCGAGAGTTCGGACCAAGGTGCAGATTTCCACTTCAGGCTTCCCTCCGTCGTTTTGCCTGAGGCCAGAATGCATGGTTAGCGCCTTACCGAGCGTGTCTTTTGCACTGGTGTTGGCAGCCATCCAATATTTCTAGCTCGACTTTGCAACTGTACTTTGAATGAAGAGACGGTACTTCCGGCTAAGCAGAGCGTCTCCGGCTGGCCGCTCCAACAGCAGGGTGAGTTCTTGATTTCATGTTCAAACCCTGAACTGTTTTGGATGAACAGATTCCGTATCAAGCGGATTTGCCAAAAGCGCATGTCCGTATTGTGAACCAAAAGTCAGCTCGGAAACATCTTGGGACATAGCTCTCTGGGGAACCGGGGCCTAGGCTCAGGCATGATTAGGCCGTTTTACGCTGCACATCATGATGCAACCTCCCATTTGGGGAATCTAAAGCTCACTCCTTCACCTTCAGGTGACGATCCGGTCTGTGCTGCCATGGTACAAAGCAGGATGAGGCCCGTCCTGCGCAGTATCAATGGGGTAGCACGACAGGAGACGCTAAAGGAACATTACTAATTACAGAGTGCCGTTCAAGATCCCTAGTTAGTTCTCCTATTGCCTAAGGGCCTGAATGAAACCGTCGCATCAAAAGCTTGTGACGGAAACCACTTTAACATGACAAGCCCATCAGGATTCATGTAACCTGCCTCGAAGCTGCCGGACCGGAGAGTATTGAGGCGTCGCAAGGTTGGAGAGTTGATCACTTCACCTGAGGCAAGCTCACGCTGTTTTGCTTCTATTTCTTGCTTGTGCGTAGCACCGCCCTGCTGCAAAAGGGAATTCATGCCCAATGTGACTATCCTGAACTCGTGCTTCCTCGCGGTTGGCTGAACCTTTCGTGCCCTCTCCTTTTCCTCCCTCTTCCCATCTCTGCTGCAAGACACATGCGGCATATGCCTGTTGTCGCCGGCGCCTTGCCAGGGGCCGTTGGATCACGTACTGCTGCAATTCTAAACGGAACGCGTCGCTCTTCGAGTGCCACCACCCGTGCCTCCTCCTCAAAGCATACAAACCGGCTGCAGATCTTGGATAGCTGCACACGAATACGTTTTATCGTTTTGGATGACACCATGCTTTGAAATTCGGGCTGGGGCAGGACAACCACTCCACCAGCAGCTGCACCCAGGACTGTAAAGGCATCAGGCACACCTAGCAGGAGCAGGTCAATCTACAGGATGCCAGCTGGAAACAAGCAACTGCAAACCGCTCAGAGAAAGCTGCGTGTTTTAGGCGGCAACCTGATGTTTTGCACCCGCATCTTTGGATTACTTCTATCGTGGCGGCACCTCTGAAGGCAAGTAATCTAAATTCACGCCAAGATGCCATCATCAGATACTCCGGCTGGCGGCAAGCTCTCGACAGAAACTGTTGTGTTGATGGCCGTCACTTCAATGAAGAAGTGGATGATCTTGAGCTGCCTCTGGCACATGCCTATTGGAAGCACCTGCTGACTTTCAAAACCAACATAATTAGGTCAGCCCTGACAGGTCTCATCGTGTGAAGCTGAGATGCTCTAACCATTCGCCTTTTCCACCCTGGAGAGCCACCTGGCATTGTGAAGGATGTGGGGAGTGGGAGCTGGATCAGGAGCTGCCATTGCGTGAGCATCATATGACTGGACAGCTTGCAAAACCCCGCGGCGCCTCAGTTGCAGACGTCCAATTTGATTCCATAGAGGAAAATCTTTGCTGCAGCTCGTAGCCGAGCTGTTTAGCTGCCTCCTTGTCCGATACCAATATCCTCAACTCACACTGCAGCGATGGCGCAATCTTAGCTGATTGCAAAACCTCCGAAATTCCCTCTAACTTCTGAATCATCCGTTCAGAAGCGCTCAGGGCTTTGCTGCGTGGGCACAGCGCTGCGCCCTTGTCATTAAATGCCAGGGAACTGCAACGTGAAGGAAACGCGGGATTCCTCAGCTGTTCACGCATTCACAATCAACGTGTGTTGACCATATCGCATCTTTCCTGACGTCCGCTTACGCAAGCCTTGACTAGGCAGCAATAATGCTGATAAGAGCGCAGCGGAACCAGACGTCGCATTGAACTCAACAAGTTCGGCGCGGTTGGAGTGCGTGACCGGGACAAAGCTGAGAATTGCTTGCTGCACCGCACTCTTCGCCACGGTGTCTTCCTGTGGACAAGTCGAGTCTCCACCAATTTAACCAAGTTCGGCAAGGCGCTTCACTCCTCCAGCGAAGGAAGCCCAGTCCTGAATCTCTCGCGCTGGATACATGGATTTTCCCATTGCCAGCTTCCATGAAATGACTCAAAGATGAACTTACTGTGCAGGATGTGCAGGTAAGATGCCATGCCAATCTCAAAGTGCCCGCAACCTGAACAGGAACCCAGAGATCGCCAGTTGTCGTAGACGTTGTTCCCGTGCCTAACGGACAACAAACAAAAGCGGGGATGTTTCTTGCTGGGCTTACTGGGAAATCCGAAAATTCGACTCAATTTGCACATGCAAGTACGTGTTGAAACGGTCGAGGTGGACGTTTGACAGTCTGGCAAAGTTCCATGGAGGGCACCATCTTCCTGACGCATCACAAGCTCGTGCAATCACTCATCTGTCGAAAGCAGTTGGACGCGGGAACTCCATGAAATCCCATGAATACATGTTCCCGCTTTCTGCATGATTGTCCAAAGGGCCTGCCTTGCAAAGAAGCTTGGAATCTGGCCCGTGCCAGCCATCAGCACAAGACACTGTGCATTCATCACCTGCTACCTGAGCGAAAACGTCATGCATAGCCTAGGAGAGATTCTGAGCAGTTCATCAAAGGCAAAATTCTTTTGTACCTAGCAAAGCAGCCGATGAGGAGCAGTTGTGCTTGTAGTAGACTTCCCATGGCAGGTTGTGGATACATGGTGCAGGAGAGCATATAGGCAACGGACCACGAAGGGAGACCTCCTCCGACAGGCGACGCAATCCACCAAATTCTGCAAAGTTGGGCCGTGGCTCCACTTGAACTTTGACCATCAGCTGCCAATAGCTACCGCATACGTGCAGGAACCTACAGTATGCATCGGAACTGGAATAATCAGCTCCCCAAATGTCGCAAGCTATCAAAAAAGGAAATGCAATTTATGAGCAGCTACTGTATGATGTCCTTGGTAAGCCAGCAAAGCTCGCATATGGGAATAGCAATCATGAGACACCCTGTAGCAGGAAAAACTAAAAAGTGCGCTGAAGCCAGGGACTGGTTTGTCCTGCTGATGCCAAAGACAAACAGCATCTCAGTACTTACGTGTTCCGTAGGGAGTCGCATGTTGCTTAACAACCGGCGTCTCAATCCCGCTCAACTTGCAGATAGAGCAGGCTCCCCCTTCATGCACCAGAGTCATAGCCGGGGGATTTGATTCAGTGTAATCAAAAATCTGATGTGGAGTTGTGCGCTCTAAGATGCACAAAGGTAATGCTTACGGCTTACTGAGTGTTTTCGATTTACAGCAAAATCGCCTCTGCTTGGAAGTTTCTCCACAATCCCCAGATCTGTGGCCAAGTTCGTTACTCTAGCCCAGAGAGGGCAGGGAGGGTCCTTCACCTTGGTCCCGGCTAGCAACTCTGTAGGCTTGAAAAACTAGAGATCGCATCACTAAGCAAACACCACGTCTGGTTGAGTCCAGGCCAGTCCTCGGAGGATTCCCACAAGTTGCACTCCAAGCGGGTTGCTGGCACATCCTTGCAGAGAACATGTGCAACTTCGATAGGCTGAATTGAGACCTCCACTACGACTGAGCAGCGGGCAGTCATGAAACCAGGAGGACAGTATGCATAGCAGCTCGCGCCGAAGCTGATGTTTTTGCAGGTGTTCAACAGCAGCGCCGGCAAGGCGGTCGTGTCGCATACAGCAGGCCTCCAGGAGCACACGCATTTGGTGCAGCGTATAGTCAACCTTACCCTCGACTTGAGAGCCTATCTAAGGTTCACAACTGGCTGCTGCGCCCTACTGTCAACATTATTGGGGAAATCAAGGCCAGGTACAGGGGCTGTTGCAATGCCCAAGAAACCTAGCAAAGCTTCCTGAAGCAATAACAGCTGCTTGATTTCTATGAAATGCGACCGTTGTTCATCTTCGAAAAAATTGTTCTCATCTATCCGAATGTAACAGGTAAGCCCTGCCAATGGCACCTGCAGACTGGACTGGGCGTTCCTGTTGCGATTCCGTCATCTCTGCATGAAAACACAGCTGGAGACTCCTGGAGCAGTGATGCTTGGGAAGGACTCCGCGGCTTTTGCTTTCAGAGTCCTCCGCGACAAAGCCAGGGGCACACTGCTGCACACAGGATGCCTGAGCAAATAATCCAAAGCTCAACTGCATGCGGCCACTTTTCATCTGGGGTTCTACGCCCAACCACTCCTGGCACAAGTTCACTGAACATAAGTGAATCAGGCTACATGACGACCAGTCAAACACAAAAAAGGTTGAATGAAAACACATGCGGATATCACAACAGCCAAGCAACCCTGCATGGAATTATGTTGGTATACTCCTAGATATCCAGAAAACGTGCTGCTGCTTTCTCTGGGATACCCCGGCTGAAAGTGAGGAGCAATTGTTTGTGAAAGCAGGGCTGTCAGAAGGCAGCCCTGCAAAGCAGGAAATGCGTTGACAGAGCGGTAGGCGACCGACTAGCTGGACACCTGCCGGGGTCTGCTCATAACAGCATTTCACATGCTCGCGTCATACTCTGCACATCTCTGTTTTGCTCAGGCCGTTGTCCTTCGACAGCATCGTCCCACGCACACTGCAGCTCTCGCAAACCGCTCCCACTGTACGCAGTGTAGCCTGCAGTAGTGGGTGGATCTTTACGTTTCAAGCCGAATTGACATGTTGCTGGAAGTCGCAATATGTCGCAATAATCTACATAAATCCTTACCGCATCTTGCCACTCATGTTGTGACAACATGATACAGTATACAGTTTCACGTCTTTCAAATCCTTGCCGAAGCGCCAGCAGCACAAACAACGCTGCAGTTGCGGCCAAATGGAAGATCATCACAAGCATGGTCAAAAGCCAAATCTGTTAGCAGCATTCCTGGCAGGCTTCTCTGTGCAACCCAGCTGTACAAAGGCTTCGGCTGGAAAACCTTATCTTATAATACAGCGCTTCCTGGCTCCTGGCAAATGAGGTGTCTCGAAAACGAAAGATTTCTCCCGGCATGTCACATGGTGCAAGCATGTGTCTTACCCGCGACCTCCAACCGTCTCAAGTGGAGCAGAGTAGCTACTGACCATGACAAGGCTTGCAACCAGGTCCGAGAAAACTCTACCTGCACGATGAGCACATGTCTCCCGATCAAGTGTGGCTGTTGAGCTGAGCTTGCCCATGTCGCCTCGTGCTGAACATGCATGCATAGGCCTCAAGTAGGGTCCAGAATTGTCTGAGGATTTGTTGTTTGATTTGGGGATGTTTTTGTTTCTATCTTTTGGTAGGCACATGTGACGACAGCAACAAATGTGAAGTTGGATTTTGAAAAGCGTCAACAATCACACAAATTGAGGGGTCGGGGTCGCGTTCCTCGTAACTGGCATGGCTTTTGGGCCCTCGGATCCTCTTATGGTTTGGAAAATGTCGACTGTATCACAAGAATCGCGGGGATCGCACTCGTGATCCTTGCAACTGTCGTTGGTTTTCGATTTTCAGATCCTCTCTGAGTTGAAAAGTATCGAAGCTCACACGGATTGTGGGGGTCGGGCTCGCCATCCTCGTAACTGTCGTCGCTGTTGCACCCTCCGATCCTCGTGGATTGTTTCAATACAGGTGGCGTTGTTTGCAGCTTTTTGCTTGCGCAGCGGCTGCAGATATTAAATTACAGCATTGGGATCTCATGTAGAACTTGCAAGTACGGTTGACTATAGCATTTGGAGCTCATCCGGAGCTTGTAGACTGAATTACAATGTTTGGAGCTCATTAGAGCTTGCAATACTGTAAATGACAGCATTTGGAACCCTTTAGAACTTGCAGATACTTTCAATCTTGGCACGCCAGCGCTGAATTTTAGAGAGATTATCGTTTATGCAGTTGGATGGCGCAGAGCCCCTTGCGCGCAATATGATCTGCATAATCCTCCCCTACCTACCCTCCCTTATGGCACACATGGCAATGACACGGCTTTGTATACCTTAAGCATTGATGGCTTCAACACAGCAGGGGGTTGAGGGAAGCAGCCCCTGACATATCCACCAAAAAGAATCCGCACAACCTTGCCCTTTTGCAAACATGGTGATGACACGATTGTTTATCGTAAGCATGGATGGCTTCAACAAAGAGGGAGGGTTGGGAGGGGGGGGGGGCGCAGCCCCACCCCATTTGCAAACAAAATGATCCGCACGAAACTTCCCTACTGCAAACACGATGAAACATGACCTTTTTTATTGTAAGCATGAAAAAAGTGGGGGGGGTTGGGGGGGAAT